AGTTCTGAAATATGCCCTTTTGTATGTAATTAAAATTAACAATATTTCATCTCCTCTATGAACCTTGATCAAATTGAGGAGAACCACGCTTGGAATGAAAAGATATATTTTTGTGCAAACATAATATAATCCACCCTACTTTGAGAAATAATTGAACTAAATATTTACCATAGTGAAGTACATTGTGTCTTGTATTTATTCTGTCTAGTTTAAAAAAATATGTTATCAAGAAATACCATAAATTTGCTCAAATATTTTATCTATAGAAAACAAAAAAACGCTGTGACAAACTCTTTCAAATCAATTAGTGCTCACAAATAAAAAAAATCTATAAAAAGATGAAACATTTTAGAGAGAAGTCTCTATTTTAAAGAAACATGCACCTGTAATTACAAGAATATGCACCAAAAGGAAAAATTGGCCAAATATGCACTAACATATTAATCTTATATAACATCATATTCTCCAAATGTCAAGAAATTTTACTTAGCTACGCTCTAAAGCAACAAACAAGAATATGTAAAAACATAGAAATCTGCTCACTAGTAATAACAAATAAATAGTAAACGAAGGTAATGGTGTCAATGTAGTTTTCTAATCTCTATTAAAAATTTGCATACACCACTGAAAATGAATGAAGTGCAATTTACCTATGTCAAGATAACAAAATTTTTGGGTCTCTTGATTCAGTCAAACCTCAAATGGAATGTCAAAACTAAGTTCATTATGCTACGCATTCAGAATTCTTTCAAATTCAGTCAGTCTTCATACTGCTCATTGTGTATATTTCATTACTGTTCATTCCCACCTGAGATACATCATATTCTGAGAGACACATCTTGTAGTTCCCTGATATTAAGATTATAAAAAAAATTATTTTTCGAATAATAAGCAAATCCACCCACGTGATTTTTGTAAGTCTCTCTTGATTAAGCTAGGAATTCTACTTGATTTATGAATCAGTAGTTTTTGTCAAAAATGACTTACTCAGGGTGGGAACATATTTTCAGCCAATACTGATGTCTATAACTATAACATGGCATAGTAAACATTTTCATCAGGAGTCAGTATCAACAGATCACTACAAAAAAATCACATACAATACATGCATATTAATTTACTACATATTGCCAGGTGACATGCAACAAATTCTATACACTAGTTTGAGTATCAAATAAAATCCTTTTCTGGTGTGTAACTGTTTCTATACAATTAGAGACCATACTGAGCATCAAAAAGGATATTAATTTTAACAACAATATTGAATCTATTAATTACCATTTAGACTGCATAAATCTAAACAACTTGTAACAAATATCGTACATCAGCTTCTGGGTCAATGACCTCCTTCTCAGCCAGGTTTTTGATCCAGTTTCCATGATCCTTTTAAGCCAATTCTGAGATGACCCTCTTTTGCATCTAAACATAAATGTAATTTCATTATCTGTGCAAGTCTTCAAGAGTTTTATGGGTAATATAGTTATTCAAATTATTGTTCTCCATATTCTAAAGGCAGGGCAGCAATTTCTCCAGGAAGGGCACAATGAAGGATAAAAGCAAAAATCTATCGTTTATTTGCCTTTTCTAATAGTTTTTATTACAATGGAAGGAATGTTTCTCATCAGTTCTTGCCAAAAATACTTATTTCAATCTGTATTCAGAATTCAACTTGCTTATGGGTTAGGGTAAAGATCCCAGAATTTAAGATATCGTGCACAGAATACTCTTCTCCCCATGGTGCATCACACAGATTTTTGACATGAAATAAACAGTAAAAAGTGTGAACTTCTATTATCCCATTCGTGGCAAGGGTAAATTCAGACAAT